TTTTTTTTTTTCCACTAGTGACAAGCTTTCAAATATTTGTAAAAATGTGTCATGCCTTTAGTTCACCTAAGAGATCTGTGTTATGCTAAGTGTTACTGGATATACAAGAACATGAGAATAAATTTATTAAAGAATCAAAAAGTAGCACATACATCAACAGGACATTCGTTTCTCTTATGGCAGTGACTAAAGTCTCCTCCTACCCACAGACAGGACTGCATTTAAAGCTGTTTCTTGACACAAAAATGGTTTACGTGGAAAAAACAAGTGTTAAATTTACTGAAAGCAAATTTTAAACAAATAGGTTTTATTTTTATGCCCCTTTAAAAATCATAAAAATTCAGTATAAAATTACAGAACTATATATTTTTTTTTTAAACTTTAGAAATGAGTTGAATGGATCTATGCCAAACCCATTTTACAGATACTAAAAATATTTTTTTGAGAAAAGAAAAGTGCTCTTGTCTTTTTAGGCATCAAATGGTACTAGACAAAAGGAAGGATTTTTGCATTAACTCCCGGTCATGAATGAAGCCTCATCCACCAGTCCAGAGAAGGTTCAGAACCTGCAGGGTCTTTAAAGATCGTTATTTTACGTTCTGTTTTTTATGGGTAAGGAGGCACTCAAGGTGCACAGAGTATGGGAGACTTTTATAAGGTGCATAGTCAGGATCTGTCCCCAACTTCACTGTTAATGGCTGGCTAGATGCCGTTAGGGGAGCTCTGGTAGCATAGTGGCTAAGACACTTGCCTGCTAACCAGACGGCTGGCGGTTCAAACCCACCAGCCACTCCTCGGAAGGAAGGTTGGGCAATCCTACTTCCGTAGTGATACTGCCTCGGAAACCCAAGGAGGGGTCGCTATGAGTCGTGGCTGACTCGAAGGCACATAACAACAACAACAAAAACAGATGCCGTTAGATCCTCATAAGCACCATTTTGTCACCTGGGAAGATGACAGGAAAAGTGTGGCTCTTAGGAAGTGTTCTCTCTCCTGATCCCACTTTCTCTACCTCCTTTCGCCGCCTCCCTGGTCCGCGTGTGTACAAACAGTGCCCTCTGGGCTGCGCTGCGAGGAGGGCGGTTGGGCTGCTGCGTATGTTCGCCGCCAGGAGGGTGCTACTGCCCAGACCGCTGGCCTGGCGGCTGCCGGGCGCCTAGGACAGGCCTTGATAGGAAGAGGTGGTACTTCTGCCTCCACATTCTTGGGTTTGAATTGTGTGGACTTCAAACACAGGGCAGAAACCCCACCTGGGCAAGCGTCAGTAGAGCCTGGACACGCAAAGACGCTGCCTTTGGTTTGGGGGTGCTGGGTCCCTGCTTGACCACATTGGTGACTACATCCCCACCTGGGCCACGGTGCATATGCCACGTGAGGCCGAGCCCTCACAGTCCTTGTAACTGAGAAGTCAGGGCAGACACAGTGTTGCACAGCTCCCTGCCACCACAGGGCAAAGGCCACCCCTCAGCAGACTGGGCACTCCACAGCCTCCAGCCTGGCTTTGCCCGGTCCGCCCGGCCGCACGCTGCCTCGCACGTGCCTGCCCAGCTCCTGGGCCGCTGGCGTCGGGCCTCCCGGGCCGCCGCCCAATCGCTGCGGCCGCCTAGCGCTCGGGCCGTTCCGCCAGCCGCGGAAGACGGGACTCGAGTCGCGCGACCGGCCGCCATGCGATTCCGCTTCGGCGTCGTGGTGCCGCCCCTGGCGCCTGGGACCAGCCCGGAGCTGTTGGTCGTAGGGTCGAGGGTTGAGCTGGGCCACTGGGAGCCGCACAGAGCAGTGCGCCTGAGGCCGGCGAGCGCCGGGGCGCCGGCGCCGCACGAGCCGGGCCTCTGGCTCGGGGAGGTGGAGCTGGTGACTGAGGAGGCTGTGGAGGCCGGGGAGGAGCCTGGCCGCGTAGACACGTTCTGGTACAAGTTTCTGAAGCGGGAGCCGAGCGGAGAGCTCTCCTGGGAAGGTACTCCTCGCCGGGGCTCGGGCCGGCCTGCGGCTGCGCGCTTTCCAGGCGCGTTCCCCACCTCCGGGGCTTCGAGCACACGCCCCGCACCCCTGGGGGCGCCCCGGGTTGACCTTGCGCTCTGCGCGACACTGTCGTTGCAATCCGCGTCTCCCGCGCCCTCCGCGTTCCACAGGGTCACGCCATGTTCTGCCTGCTCCTTGGGTTGTCTGACCCTCCGAGCTCTTTCCCACACACCTCGCACCCAGCTTAAGTCGTAGTGTGCCTTCGCGGTGCTTCAGCCTCCTTGGTCCCACACTCCCCGGGCCGGTTCACCCTCCACGTTCTCCCTGCCTGGCCAGCCTTGCAATTGGTCGTTTCACTGCTCATCTCTGCTTAATTGCTTTGTGTCCTCATTTTCTTGTCCTCAATTCACCTAAAAAAAAAAAAAAAAAAAATTCCAACCAGTGAAAATAGTCCTCTTGCCAATCCTAAAAAGTATTTTGTTTTCTTAGATGTTACCAAAAAGCAAACTCGCTGTCGTTGAATCGAATCCGACTCATAGCGACCCTCCTCGGGTTTCCGAGGCGGTATCTCTACGGAAGTAGGTTGTCCAGCCTTCCTTCTGAGGAATGGCTGGTGGGTTTGAACCACCAGCCTTTTGGTTAACAGTCAAATGTCTTTGTGAGCTAATGGAAAGACGTTAAGAGGCTCCCTTTTATGGATTTATTTTTGATCCTCTGTGGCAATTTAGGCGCTCTGGTGGCATAGTGCCTAAGGCATTTGACTGCTAAGCAGAAGGCTGGAGGTTCAAACCCACTAGCCACTCCTCGGAAGGCAAGGCTGGCATGGTAGCAGTATGACACTTGAGATAAAACATGCCGGTTGCAAAATGTCAAATACAGAAACATACAAGGTAAAAATTTAAGTGTCTCCTTTACACACCGCCATAAGCCAACTGCCCGATGTATATGTATGTGTGTATGGCGTAGTGCCTAACGCATCTGACTGCTAACCAGCCACTCCTCGGAGGGAAGACGGGCAATCTGCTTCCGTAGAGATACCGCCTCAGAAACCCAAGGAGGGGTGGCTATGAGTCGGGATTTACTTGATGGCAGTGAGTTTTTATTATTTATTTATTTTAAAAGTTCTATCATATATATTATTCCTAATCTTACTTTTCTTTGCTTAAAAATAAGCTGTGGATACCTTTCAGTGTCCCCTCTTGTGTTTCATTTTCTTTTTTTAATGAGAGCATATTCTGTTTGACACAGTCGCTGTGACAATAGTCTCAACCATAGCAATGATTGTGAGGGTTGCCCAGGACTGGACAGGGTTTCCTTCTGAGTTGTAGTTGACTGTTGACACCTAAGAACAACAGCAATATTCTATTGTTTGGATGTAGCATTCACCTACCAATGTGTGTTTAGGTGGTTTTTACTTTTCTTCTGTTATAAAGAGTAATACATTAATTAAAAGGCTGATGTTAGAGTTACGTTTGAACTTTTGGGACTGTTTCTGAAGGGTAGATTGTTAGAAGTGATATTGTTAGGTCAAAGTGTAGCCATTTTGTACAATTCAGTAAGGACTGCTATATTGTCCTCTGGAAAGGTTATTCCTTTGTGGACGGTCACCAAGTATGTGTTAGTTTAGATGGCCCTTAACTTAAAGCGAAATGTGTAAGGTGGAGGACTGGAGTGTATTGATTCAATAGTGAATAAATGTCTAGAAGTTTATAGAGAAAAAATGGGCCACTGTGGTGAGACAACAATTAGCAAACAAGATGAGTATGCCAAAATATGTTTATGTATTATCTTTGTTACCCTTTTTGTACTTCGCTTGGTTGTATGGTCTGGTAGCATTTATTGTCCTTTTGCATTATTGCACAAGAATATAAAAATGCTGTCTTCAGTTTATGCCCTTGTTTTACAGAATTAAATTCAAAGCTCTGAATAATTTGCTTATTGCCATCAACTGACACTAACTGTAAAAACGGCAAGGAGGCCACATGTTCTGACCTCCTCTAATCTCACAAGAGGAAGACAGCAGTAACCCAAGGCCTATTACTGCAAGGCCAAACATGCTGCCTCCCTCCAGCCCTTTCACCAACCG